GACATTCTTCATTTGCACAGATTGGAGTACGTGCGTGTTGAGTCTGCGTTGGAGCTGCGCTGTCCCTTCAAGCTCCATCTCCATCTCCCCCATCCTCATCCCTTCGTCTTGATCCTGACGGACCGCCATCCCGGCGGGTTTGTCACACTGCTCATGTTGGGAAGTTCAAGGTGATGCCTTTTCATACGGAGAACCTCTTCGGTGTGTACAACAAGAGATACTCTTAGTACCTCCATTGGAACAGATGCAGCCTGTGTGTGTGATGGAACAAAACAACAGTTACCGACCGTTCTGTTTGCAGACTCAGTGTTCTCTGCCGGTGGACCCAAGAGACTGGGCATGGCAACATCCCCGAAATCCGGAAAAACTGGTTTTCTTACAAGATTATACTACAAAACTGGGTTATCAGATGGTAAAGCCACAGGTGGATGTTAATTGGGTGGTGGCACGGAGGTGGATGGGGACTGGATGGATCGCAGATTCTTTACCAAGACTGTCACAAGCACTTCCGGGCTTTTGGACGCAACTTATGGATTTGACCAACAAGAAACATGCTAGTCTGCTATGGTTAATGATGCATTTGGCTTTGCCAGTGGCTACCTGGTGCTCACGCAGGACTGCCAAAGCTAGCCCTCTGTGTACAATATGTCCAGGGACTCATATCGAAGATGTTCAACATTTCGTGTTGCATTGTGATCTCACCCGACCCTTCTGGGACTGGTGGCGTCAGTCCTCAGTTCCGGTCCCGGATGTGCGGGACAGATGGGATGATCAATTTGTGCTCTTGGGGACAGCTTCTAGACGAAATCTATCTTCTGACCGCTATTCTCATGCGGAAGAAACACTTTGTGCTGTCATCCTTGCTACATTTTGGAATTGCCGTAATATGGCAGTCCGTAGGGGGGAACAGACAACCCCCCCTATGATCAGAGCCGAAGTTAAATACAATATCAAATTGACGATATCGGCAGAATGGGAGCTTCGTGTGCACAGAATAAAGGTTACACAGCCAAAGCGGTCAAATGGTTCTGCTCCAAATGGGGAGCATTTGAAGGACTGTGTGTGGTTAACTTGCAGGGGGGGGGACTTCCTGCTTTGGTCTTTTCGGATTTCTTTCTGTGATTTCCTTTTTGTGAGACTGTATCATAATGTACTACAATGAACAGTGATAGGAAGACTGGCGATTTTAGTTACTTGTGCATTGTGTTACTGTTAAGTATAGGATAGTAACCGTAGGCCCTGTGGTATTATAGAGAGCCTATGCTTTTGCTGTAGTTTGTTCTATTAGACTTTCTGTCGTTCTGTTTTTTGAAATGTTCTTGAGATGTTCTGTTGTAGATACTGTAGAATTTGTGGATTTGGTTAATTGGAGACTATTGTGTCTGGGGGGCAGGGGTCCCAAGCGGTGACATAACTGTGGCTGGGGATGAGATTGGCCAGGAGTGCCTCTTTCAGCCCTGTGTGCTGCAGTACTCATGTAAAAGGCATAGTTTTCCTCTTCCCCTCTAGATAGTCTTAGGAGTAGGTAGTGGAAGGTAAACAAACAGAAGTTGAGAGAAGAATATAGACGGAAAAAAAATATATATACAAAAGGCATGCTCACAGTAGCACTTGGGAGAATGCATCCAACTGCATTCTCGTCCCAGCGGTGTACCTCAGGTTCAACCGCACACAACAGACAACCTGACACCGTTTTCGGGGGGGTGTCTGGCGGGCTCTGCACACAAATGACGTCGGAAAGAGGCTGGGCGGGAAGCTTCAAAAACACCCCCTGGGTCAAAAAACCATAAAATTGAAGCTTCCCGCCCAACGAATGTGGCCAACTAAAACAGCAACAAAACATTTCTAAAACATGCTACTGGACGTGGGGCGGGTTGGGCAAAAATGAGTGGGCGGTCGATGTCCACTGCAATCGGCGGCTCACGTGAGTCACCCCGGGCCGCGCGTCGTTGAAAGCCCAGCCTTGAAGTGTAACTCTTGGCTAGTCGGACTTGGCCCCTGCCTCCAAAAAAATCAATATAGAGTCCTTTTTTTATTTTCTTTTTTTTTTTTAATCAATACAGAGTCCTTGATACAGTGAAAAGGGAATAAGGCTGGGACCCCACTGCGGTGCGGATGGAAAAAACCGTCGGCCACAAAGAGAGGACAAGAGTTTCTGGAAAGCTGGAAACTCATTTTTCTCGGATCCCACTGCGGAGGCCGTTTCGCGGCAAAGCTGCGATATTTCTTTCCGAAATAGGAAAGGGCCGTGGGGGGTGGCCGAAAAGGGAAAGTTTTTATTCTGGGAGGCGCCCGCTGGACTGACGGAACGGGCGAGGGTACCAGGTTTGGGTGACACATGGACATTACGCGGTCCAAAAACCGGACCAGACCTTGGAAAAGTGCGAGACAGCCCCCGAGGCCAGTCTCAGCTTTCGGCACAGCGAACTTTCCTCCCGATGGCCTTTTCCAGGACGCAGACGGAGTGAAAACGTCCAACTGCCACCTTCCACGCCAAAAAACGCGGCCTGTGGGGTCCCGGAAGACGGTCCTTGGAAAGAATTCGCCGCTTTCCAATGCATTATACGCAGGCTGTGGGGTTCCAGAAACACTTCCGTGGCAAAGTTTTTCCTTTCCGCATTCCTGTGGGGTCCCATCCTAACAAATTAAAGAAAGAACTACTTTTTTTTTTTTTTCCTGCCTTAAAACAGCCGGGAACAGGGCCCGGCGTCCATTATATTACAGAGCCAGGAATCGGGCCTGGTGTCCCTTACAGAAAGAAAAAGGTTTCGCGGTCCTGTTTGAAGGAGAGACATCACCAGTCAAGCCCAAAAACTGGAACGCATCACACCGCTATGCACAAAAAGAAACCACAAAAGGGAGCAAATAGACCTCTGTCTCAACAAACGTCTTTCTGTCTCTCTCTCTCTGCTGGACGTACCATTTCAAGGACACATAGCAGTGATGTAATTGACTATTCAGTGGAGGAGCAGTAGACATATGCATTAGGACACACAGTAGTGGGGGAACACACAGGCAAACGGTGAAGCGTAGGAAAACCTATAAACTAACATTTCGTTAAAACCGACATTTTTTCCGAAATTCACGAAAGTGGACTTAGTCAAAATTTCATTGCTCATTGGGTTACAAAGTGGTTATCTCACTTTGTCCATCTGATGTACCTCAACGTAAAGTACCGTTAACATACATCCAATGATCAGATCATCGGGAGTTGCCACGACACCCGATGATCTGATCATCCGACGTCATGGGGACCAAAAAAACCCTAAAAAATGCTGTTTTTTGGGAACGCTCAATTTCGTAAATTTAGAAAAAAAAGTCAGTTTTAACGAAATGGCAGTTTAGAGGAAAAAGGTAGAAAATTTCAGCTCAGGAGCACGGCCAGACTCAGCAGACGTTTCCACCAGATCCGTAAACTGGGCCCAGTGTATGAGGAACCTTTTAAGAGCCTTCGCCGAGAAGCGTTTGTTGACCACTTTAAGAGACCAGTCTGTGGATAGTGTCTGCTTAGTAGAGTACTGAATTTCCG